AGCTCAAGAAAACGTGGATCTATACATCCACTCCCCCATACACCTTCATGGTGTAGTGCTTAATTGGCTAAGCACAAGGGACAACTTTACCTTTCACCTTACCTATGGTAAGTGTAGTCCCTGAAGACGTACCTTACTAATACAAAAGACGGACAGGAATTCAATCAGTATCTATAAAGATGATCTCAAGGCAGTGACTACCATGAAGATACAGATAGCAAACCCACCCCGAAAAGTTAGTACCCATTTATCAGACTGTGCGGCGTCACGTTCCAGAAGACAACAGTCCTGAATGAGACACGCCGCCTCTCCTTGGGCCTCCAAAATATGAACCTTTTACTGAAAACAACGAGGAAATCGGATTTCCACTGCAGTTGTGGCTCTCCACATTGCAATAGAACATTGCTGGGAGAATGGGGTGAGGGCAGAGAAAACGAAGATATAATGCTTCTCTGTTCTACTAAATATGGAGGGAAAAGCCAATGCACGGAATGTGGCAGCGCAGAGTTAGTCATCAAAACACTCCATAGGAACCTCTTGAAAGTTAAGACGGCAAACAGATATACATTCACGGAATAGAAAGAGAGGAGTGCGCGCAGTAAACAGCACGAGACATCGTCACGATATTGGCGAACGGAGCCGGCTAGAATTCTACTGACAAAGTAACCTCCTCCTCAGTGGAAAATAATTCGTCTTCGACGATTAAAAATCTTGTTTTTTAAGAACCCTTGTGTCCACAGACGGAAAGCATGTTACAAAATGTTCAACATTGCGGCCCCGTTACATTATGGTGTATCGGTTTACCGAAGCTATTGACAAATTATACAGAGTGTTTCAAAAAGATTGGATTAAAAATATACCACACTTTCAAGGGGCTGAGATGAAAAACGTTCCTACGAATGGTTTTCTGCAAATTAGTTCTGCAAGAGTTATGAACAAATACACGTATATTCATTGATAGCTTTCAAAAAGCAATGCAAAAGCAAATACTTACATCATATGCTCATATAGTCTTGCAGCTGCAGAAGCATTTCGGCCTATTTCTCTACACGCACACGCACTAAACATTCAACCGCCATTTCGAGAAACTTATGCAACCCCGCAGTGATTCACAGATAAAAGTACTATACGTATATCCATTCATAACACTGAGCTAGAACCTATAAGACCGTACCAGACCATGTAGTAACTGATGAATGTCAACAGAGATCGGATCTAACGTCAAAATGTTCGAAAAAGTCCGCTAGGCATACAGAGGTATTCACATGCCTCTCAGTGGAACGCGGTCGATTAGAATATCAGCTGTTAGTTGTTGTTTAACGTATTACAGGTATTTCTTTCATTTTTTAATTGTCTTTAATGTTATTTAAAGTAAATAACACCAAAATAAGTTAGGAGAAACTGTGCACAGGTTCTTACTTACATCTCTATGTGAAATGCTTGGAATGTATGACTAGAGTTTGATATTGTCACGGTAGCGAGTTAGAAGAATTCGGTCTCCTAGGTTGTAAGGCGTATAGTTCTGAAAAAGCTTAACATCGCCTCCATCTTTAGGGTCTAAGGATAAACCAGGCAAGAAAACGGCAGAAGCAGGTGCCTGCTTGGCTTGCTCTTTGACCTGAAGATACAGCCAATATGTTGCTCTAACTACATGGCGTAACAACTCAAAAGACCGCATTCTTCAATGTACCACACACTAATCAATCTTTTTATTATATTGTTCTTGCAAGAATTTGATTACATAAGCTGTAAAAGTAAGTAAAGATATCCCTGTAACAGGCCGTGAAGGCCCATAGGGTTGTGGGACGTTATGGCTCCCACATTTTGTAGACAATCAGCTGACAGATGGTGGTAAGTTGTCAGCCTTACTCGCTGGCCGCCCATTACCCCCAGGAATATTCCTGGTACTCATTTCTGTTAGAAGCTAAGTCGAACCCAGGGCCATGATGCAGCTGGAAGGATTAGGTAAACTGAAAAAATCAACCCGTCAGGATTCAATCCCACGACCATCTGGCTTGTAGCATAGTGCCTCAACCAACTATGCTACCGTGTGCCCCCCTACATAAACTGTAGTAGTATAAATACTGAGATAACTCTTTTCTGCATCTACAGTGTAGATGAAGCAGTAATTTGAGAATAAAGTAAAACGAGCTTGAATAGGTCGAAGGCATTTGTACACATGGTCGAAATTTCTGAAGACAGCCATCATGACAGCTGATGACATCAATTACCCCATTTTGAGGAGTTGGCATCAGTCAACCCAATTCCCACCTTATTTGGCACACCTGTTTCATTAACAAAACATCACAGTCATTCTGCAGTTCTTGGAGGCTAATATGCAAATTACAGAGCCCTACAACTTCATGTAAACAACATTAAACAAACATTAAAGGCATACACAACAGAATATTAAATACGTTACATAAGTAAAATTGTAGTGCAAACTTCAGTGCTGTAATGACAAGACAGCTAGTCAGTTATGGTGTAGCACTGCCACATCCTGCCCACTGATGTCTCCTTGAGTTACTAGAAAAAGTAAATATTTAAAATCCCAATAAATATCAAAGAACTATGGAACCTTCAGTGGCATATTTATAATTTGAAGCTAACACTACGACCGATTATTCATAATTTCTTCATACCTCATCACACAACACACTTGAGATAAGCAAAGAGCAGAAACTGTGACACCAGGGCTTGTGCTTTTACCTCTGAGGGAAGAAGACAAACTTCAGAGTGACAAGCGTTTTGGATTTGTATATGCAGGTATTCCTCAGTATATAGGATTAATGAGTTCCTAGAAACCACAACATAATGCAAAATTGCGTGAAGTGAATTAATTTTAACATGGTCATAATAGGGATGTGTTCCAAAATAGGGAAAATGTGATTCAAATATTAAGGAAAAAACTGTATTAACCTCTCACACTTAAAAAGAAATGTACATAATTTAATCAGATGATTCAAGATGTTGGTCAGTGTTGGGCCCAACCAGATCTCTTGCAGAGCCAGAGGATTGATCAGTTCCAACTCTTATGAAGATGTGATGGCAGGAGGGTTGACAGATAGCTTTTTGCCTCTCATTATAGCATTCTTTGAAACAAGCTACAGCACTCTGAATCACTCTGGTAACTTTGGCACTTCTTTCCCTGTTGGTATCTGTTGACAACGACAGCGTCACTGTGCTTAAGAAATTCAGTCAGTTGCTTTGTTGAAAGGCCCTCACATTGCAGGATTCATCACTATCATTTAGTTCTTTCTCCAGCCTCAGAAGATTTTGATTGCTGAGGTTCTCCATGTGGTACTGAAACAATTCCTCCACACTGGCCTCATTTACATGCTCAAATCCAACAGCTCTGGCTAAGTCAGGATGGCATGCCTTGAATTGCCAATCTCCACTCATTCACGAAAGCTACTGGAAGTCCATGTCTACATCAGGTGAAATATTTCTCCAAACTCCACTTACAGAGGAATCACATGATGGCGGTGAAACTTAATCCATTGAGCCAGCCTTAATTTGTATGATCTACTAGCTGTCAGTTTCATTTAACTTCTAGGGCTTTTAATTACCTTGGCTTGTCTCCTTCAGTTTCTTAATATTGATTTAGGGACTCCCATGGCATTGGCTGTGACAACTGTACATTTGTTACATTCATTTCTCTTAATCACATTTAATTTTTCCTCAAGGGTAATAGATTTTCTTTCTTTCTTGCCACTGGCAGCACTCTTTATCTCTGCTGCTATGTTTGCTTATAATGGTCACTTGTAAGTTTATCAACTGCAAAAATTAAGAAAACAAAATGTTATTTGAGAGATGGTCTACAAATGCAGGCAAACTCAGATGACTGACAACACCTGCATTTCACAGCACATCATGTGACTGCACATGTGCATAACAATATTTATTGCAGTTATGAAATCACAAAAAGTGAGATAAAGTACAAGAGATACCTGCAACCTTACCTGGACAGGCATGGCTAAAATTACAGTATATGCACTGAGCTCAAGGGCTGACAAACGCATAAAGATTGAAAATGGGTAACAACCAGTGATAATCCTCTGCCAGTTCATGTTGTGTGGCTAACCTGGAACCTTTTAAAATTGTATTTTTAAGAACTTTGCTACTAAATGTATTCTTCATACTTTAACATCTGAAGCGCACCTATCAGTACACTGGTGAGTATGGTTGTCATAGCCAAAGTACCCAGACTGTGCATTCAGGCATTTAAATGCCATTAGTGGAAGTGTGTGCACAATCCTAAATATTTATTTTTAAATATAGCAAAATTCAATATACATACATTTTTTGTGTTATCTGCTCAACCTGTATATACAGGCTTCAACCCCCACATCATGTAACTGGATCTCGCCTTTGTGTAATATTCCTTGAAGCACCCAAGAAAGCACAGTCCCACATCACATATCTTGCATTTCACCTGCCTTTCAATTTCGTCATCTTTCAAACAACGTTTCTTTGCCATTGCATGAGAAAATGAAACTACAATATTCAAATTAACTATAACTCACCGAAAACTGTGTATCTCAGCTGCAATGCAAAAATTGGGCTGTAATATTCCCTTGAAGCTGCAATGGCAGGGCTTGGCACTAAAGTAGGGAACAATGAATATTCCCTCCAGCCTTTCTTGAAAAGCCATGCTTTCAATTTTCTGTCCTTTAGTCAAAAGACTGGAATCTGAAGAGTGTAACAAAGAAATGAAACTTGCCAGCAGAGAACCAAATGACTTTATTGCTTCAAACTCTTTTATGGCATTAAAGAATGCAAAAATATTTGAAGTGTTACAAAACAGGAATGATTTTATAACGAAGAACTACTACGTGAAGAACCGAGAAACTATTTTTACTGTATGCATCAAAAATACAAGAAAAAAATTAAAAATAGTTTATAAGCTTCTTGTCTACACATTTCCAAATCTTACATTATAATATGTGACACTGTGTTCTTTGCTGATAAAAGCAAAGTTTGTTCCATTCATCATAAAAATTGTATTAGATACAGCATTTTCAAATACAGTGCAAGCACTCTAACAGGAACGGACATTTAAATGCAGAGCAACAACAGGCATTTAAATGTGCATCAGCAGTGGGAATTTGAATAAATTCCAGCCAGCTCAAGCTACCACCATTTCAAAAGTCTGGAGTTTAAGTCCACAATTTACATGAAAAATTAAACTCACAGAAACAAAAACACACTAGAATGAATGGTGATCATCTGGCATTACCCTCAGTATGGTAATATGTTGTGGTTCCTTGAATTTGATACGAACCTCCACTTCAGCTGACCTACACTGCTGCTCAAAAGAGTAAAAGCCAGCAAAGCAGGAAACTGTATTCCCACCAGACTCTATTGAGCAGAAGTGATTATTGCAGGTGAGTGTGAGAGCCCTAGGAACAACATTCTGATTTATTCACAGCTCTTTCAATATATTTTACTTTATAATCAACCTATTGCCAACACTGGAGAATGAAATCACTGGATGCTCACACTTCTTGTTCATGAGCCACTGAGTGATGATACTGTGGATACATATGCAGATGCACAGCATATATTTGGAATGCACTGCATAATTAAAAAAGATCTGCAAGATGCTGAGCAATATGTACACATTATAAATAAATTAAAGCACTGAACCATTACCAGGCAAAATTGGTATGTAAAGACTGCAGTTCATATTGCTGATTCTCAGCTGTGTGCATGCATTTGAATGCATGTATTTGTGTGTATGCATGCACGTCAAGGGAGTTCAGTGTGTCTCAGAAGCACCCCATTAACACCTACATAAGGATAATTGAAACCCATTTTCAAATCAGTTACATCTCATCTCTGACATTACTGTTACATAGATATTTATAGAAAAATATAAAAGCAAACAGTAAAATGTCCCTATTTCAAAGGTCACAGACTAATAACTTGAGTATTATAAATTTGCATAAAAAGTTAACTACACATTATAATATATGAGATTCAAGCATTAGATCTTAGGAATCTGGACAACCTGGCAGTGTGTGCCGGGTACATATTCACAGCAATTCACTTTCAACAATGGCGGCATCTCCTGAAAACAACTGCCAACTGTCAGATAGAGAGGTGGATGTAAGCAATTTTAGAGAATGTTGCCAAAATTAGTGCGCGTTTTGCCAGAATGTCACACACAACACTGAACAAGATTGAAAATATGCAACAAGAGTACACACAGCAGTGAACTAACACCATTCAGTGAGTGCACATCCTGTCAATGCAGGAACAATTCTTTGTGTCATTTATTTGACGAGATACAGCAGTAATGGAAAATGCACTGTCTACTTAATGAAATTAATATTTAATTCTACTCAACTCCAGGACACCTGTGAGATACCTTGCAGCTGTCATCACAAAGATTTATGTGCACTTCCAATCCTTAAACCTTGGTGAAAGCAAAGAGATGATAACTACTGTAACTAAATACAGGCAATGGTCATGTTACAAACATTCCTAAGAACCAAATAAAACAATGACTTAACAGCAGAAGAAAATATAACAATGAGATAAAATTATTCTGCATTGTACCAAAAGCGAAACAAGTAATGTGATTAGTCATTATCTATGCATAATAATTGTTAGTCCATGTCTCACTGACAAATACATATCACATCCTGCTATAATGAGTTTAGAATTCTTTCACATATCACAAAAACAAGATTCATCTTTCTTTAAATGCAACAGGTACAGCCTGTTTAAACTAAAATAACTGTGTACTTATTTTACCATAAAGTGTAATAACACACAACGGTGCAAATTACTTGGGTCAGATAACTTTGTAGAAAGAGAAGTAGTTCATGCTAATGCAAATCTCTTTGACATTACAGAATTACTGTGTCTTGCTACACCAAGCTGCATGGAAAATCTGTAACATACAAGATTAAAACTTTCACATACATGTTTCAATAATGAACAATAAGCAGAATTCATTACCATGGATATATCTTCAAAAGTTCCATCAAAACCCAGAGTAAAAGTGCATTTCGTGTTACCATGGGAACGTGCTCCATAAAGCCCTGCCCAGCAGATGGGCAAGTTGCAACTTTCAGGTCATATGTCACAATATCAATATATAAACAGAATTTCTCTGTAATGTTGTGAACCTCCTCTACTCCTGCAGACCCCGACTTCACACCATTCCCTCCCAGTGTGAATGCCTGTCAGTAAGTGTGGCACCATTGCTCTCCAGCCTCAGATGGTGCACTTTCCTCCTCATAAGAATTCTAATTTCTATGGCTACTAAGCTAAGCCTGCAGGGCTCGTGGTAGCATAGTTAGTTAAGGCACTATGCTACAAGCCAGAAGGTTGCGGGTTCAAATTCTGATGTCATTGGATTTTTTCAATTGATCTAATCATTCCAGCTGCACTATGGCCTGGGGTCGACTCAGCCTCTAATAGAAATGAGTACCAGGAATATTCTTGGGGGTAAAGGGCTGACAACCTTGCTGCCATCTATGAACCGATTGTCTAGAAAATGTGGGAACCTCAACATCTCACAACCTTATGGGCCTCCATGGCCTGTTACAGGCCATGGAGGCCTGTGAGATGTTGTGAGATGTTCAGAGCAACTGTACTTCAGAAAAATGGTCTGAGACAAATCATGAAGGAGCAAGCAGTATTTCAACATACTGTAAACTCTCAGTTCCAGTTACATCCACTGAACATCGAGGTGACAATCAATATCACACTGCTTACAGAATATACATATGCTGCAAGCCAGAAGGTTACGGGTTTGATTCCTGATGAGGTCATTGGATTTTTCAACTGACCTAATCCTTCAAGCCGCTCTATTGCCCCTGGAGGTTGACTCAGTCATTAACAGAAATAAGTACCAGGAATCTTCATGAGGGCAAAGGGTGGCTGGCATGTGAGGCTGACAACCTCATCACTGTCAGCCGACTCTCTAGAAAATATGGGAGCATCAACAGCTTACAACCCTATGGGCCCTACCGACCTGTTACAGGCAGAGATTTCCCTTTACCTTACACATCCTATCTCTAAGCTTTGGGTATGGGATAGAGTAGATGGCCATTACAGTGCTTTGTTATCACATTTAGAGCATTAAATTATTTGAACTGAGTACATATAGTGAACCGTGTCACGGTTCTTTCGGTGTAGGATCTTTGGATTTACCGTCTCTCTCTCTCTGGCAACTACGTACGATACGACGCGGAGCCGATCCCTTTTCCCATCAAGTTCTTTGCGTAACCCAGAGGTCACGTGTTTCCCCTTCCCTCTTGTCCCGACACGAGCTACGTTTACAGGCAAGTAGGTCTGTTGCTTTTTCCTCTTCGTCTTCGACCGAGAAGGTCGGTTTTGGGGGTTCGAAATTCAGTTTGGTTTTTGATTACGCATTATGCGTAGAAATTCTGTTTCGGCGCATTGACTACTACAGGAAGAGAGAGGAAGCCCTGTCGAGCCGGCGTGGGGCTGGCTGGCTCGGGAGTTTGTGTATTTATTTATTTATTTATTATTTTCCCTGGCTTGTAATATATATTTTATCAAGTAAGTACTTACTGAGGAAGTTGGGCGAGATGTTTTAGAACTGCCCTGTATTTGTGAGAGTGCCAGGAG